TTTTAAAAAATAATATTTTATTGATATTTAGAGATTGGAAGGGAGAGAGCTATTGATGTGAGAATGATTGGCTGCCTCCCGCAGGTCCCCCCTCCAGGAATCGAACAGGCAGCCCTTCGGTGTACGTTATGACGCCCACCCAAATGAGCCACACTGGCCAGGGCAGTCTTTTAATTTTTGAAAGGAACAGGTGCATTACAGTTTACCTTAATAAAAGGCCTTGATATTTCTCCCCCTCAGCAACAGAGAGGAGACATTATATGGTCTGGACAGGGTAGGTGTCCAATAAGTATTTGTTGACTGAATGATTTGTTATCAGCTCTGAATTACCTGAGTCCTTATTGCTAGAGCATAGATGTGTTTTTTACAAGTTTGTAGTATGATTGTTGCTTGGACCAGAGGTTACTGACATCACTAGGGTAAGTGATAGAGCTACAAGCCCTGTCCCAGATTCCCTAAATTAGAATCTTCATTTGAACAAGCTTCAGGTGATTCATATGCACATGAAAGTTTGAGAAGTGAGGCTTAAATAATTAGCAAATTTATCAGTAGAATATAAATTTAAAAAAATTGGTCTCTGCAAGAATTTGGTTAAAAATGTATAAAAAGAAATTAAGCAGGAGTCTATAAATTAATTTTATTAATTAAGCAGGATTATATAATTAAAATTTTATTCAGCCTCTTCACATATTTTTAGTTTTAAATATAAGTAACATTGAAAGAAAGTAGAAAGAAACACACCTATAATTCTCCATTCTAATGCTACTAGTTTTGTTCTTGATGTGATTTTCCCAGTCTTTGACAACATGAATACATATTTTTTGATATTTGTTATGTAATTTTGAGTTATATTTAAAAATGTTTTATTTACAAATGCAATATATATTAATTATGGGAAGTTTGAAAATACAAATAAAAACAGAAGAAATAAAACCGCCTGTAATTTATGAGGTAAGTCCTTTGAGCCATCGCCAAATGGGATCTTATTGTATGTGATAGTTTTAATCTACTTTTCTCTACTTATTATATATTATGAATACTTTCCATAATGTTCTCTAACACTACTTTTAACAAATATGCATTCTATTTTATAGTTATAATGTAGCTACCCAAATCTCTTTTTTTTGTCCATTATAAATAACATTTAATTTAACACCCTTGTGGTAAGCATTATGGCAAATCCACAGTAATTTTCTTAGAGTAAATTTCTAGCATGGGGGATATTTTGATCAACTTTACATGAATTTCTTTCTGAGAGTGGCTTAAATTCAAGCTTCTTTTAGCAAGTGTATACAAAAAGAAGACTTGAACAAAGAAAAAGTACATTTGCTTACTTTGCCTGTAGTGCCCATTTTTCTTTGGGAAACTCGCCTTGGAAGCTTCTTTCTGATTTAAGAAGTTCTTCCACTTCTGTCCGGGATGCTTTCTCTCTCTCTGGATTGAACTGTCGTTGCATAAATACCACCCCCGCTCTTTTATTATCCAATCACTTTCCTTTTTGTTGCTGTGATCCACATCTCTGCCCATATTTCACCACGTCATTTGTGGTATCGTATTTCAGCTGCCAACAGCCTTTGCTCCCAGTCATTACTTGGAGATTTTTGTTTACTTTCTTTCTTTTTATTGCAAAGTATAAGGTGATAATAGAAGTTTATGAAACATATACATATGAGTTAACACAAAATTATAAAGGACATTTCCACTGCTCCAGAATCCTTCCTGTACCCACCCTTCCCCTTCACAACCCTAATAATTACTTCCTTGCATTTCTTTATGATTTATGTTCCTATGTAAGTTTATTTAAAACTTTATATGAATGAAATCTTAGTGTATGTATTCCTTCATGTCTTTTCTCTCAACTCCATGTTTCTTTCAGCCACATTGCTTGAAACTGTTTGTTTTCATTATCATTTAACTTCCTTCTTTTCTCTTTTCTTCTTTGCTTTGCTTTTTGCTTTTTGCTTTTTGTCTTTTGCTTTTTGCTTTTCTTCTTATGGTGAATCAGTGGTTGCATTGAAAAGTTTCCTTGGGAAAATTCAGGACTAATACACAACCAGTATGCACTATTACCGTGATGCCAACAGTCAAAATGGAAATACTTTTGTTGCAGCTGGTAAAATCCAGTCCGTTTCAACTCTGTTGCAGCCCTGGAGAGACCTTTTCATCACTGCTGAGCAGCACGCTGGCCCAGTGGCTGTGTAGGCTCATCGTGCACCTCCTGTTGCTTCTGGGTCTCTGGGTGTGCACAGTTCAGAGTGGTCCCGGGATGCCGGTGGCAAGAACCCGGTGCTGCATCTAGCCTTCTGGGGCTGTGACCACAGATGCTGTGGGCCAGAGCTCCCCTGGAATCACACTTGCATGGCTGATGTGGGAAACAGTGTCCTATAGGTCGCTAAACATTTTGACTAGGCTGGAATTGCTGAGTCTTCAACTTTGATAGACAAGGTCAAAGTGTTTTGCAACATGGCTTCACCTTCCAGCAACAAAGTATCGGACTTTGCCCTGGGCGGCATCATCGCCAATGCTTGGAATGGCCAGGCTTTACAACTTTTGATGATCTGTGGTGTGGAATGATAAGTAATTGTTTTTAATTTGTAGTTCTGTGATTATTAATGAGAATAAGCACCAGTGGTGTACCAGAGCCAGGTCATACTGATTTTTGGCCTGCTTATTATGTTAACTGCTGAGAGATGTTTAAATATCATTATTATATAAATCTGGTCATTTCTTACATTTCTTACTTTTTGCTTTACATACTTTGAGGCATGCAAGTATCCTTTGTTGTATGTATTTTAAGAGTTTAATAATGTATTTTGCCATCTTTCTCTGTCAGTATGTTTTCTTTAAAGCATTTCTTTTAATGTTCCCATAGTATTCTATTTCTTCCAGAGTTTAATATATTATTGTAGACTAATTAAGTTGTTCTTTTATACTTTTTGGAGGTAGAATTTATACTCTTTGCTTCTACTTTCTCACTCCCACACTCTTCTCTCCGTTCCATCTCTATTTCTCAATTAAAACGGTTCTCTTGAATGTCGTTAGTGAACTCATTTTTAAAAAATGACCTTTAAAAATTTCTTTGTAGCCCAGCTAGTGTGGCTTAGCAGTTAAGTGTCAACCTATGCCTCATTGGGTTCTGGTTCAATTCTGAGTCATGGCACATGTCGGGTTTAGGGCTTGATCCCCAGCATGGGGCATGCAGGAGGCAGCTGATTGATGTTGATGTCGATGTTTTTCTCTCTCCTTCTCCCTTCCTCTCTCTCAAAACATCATTAAAAACATACTAAAAAAATGTCTTTGTAGCCCTGGCTAAGGTGGCTCAGTTGGTTGTCGTGTGATCCTGTACACCAAAATGTGGCAGGTTAGATTCCCAGTCAGGGCACATATCCCAGTTTGTTCCATCCTTGGTCAGGGCATGTGTGGGAGGCAACGGTTCGATGTTTCTCTCTCACATCAATGTTTCTCTCTTTCTCTCTCCTCTCCTCTCTCTGAAATAAATAAAAAATTTCTCTGTGGCATTTACTTTTTTTTAGCTTTTCTTATCATATTTTTATGAATTCTTTCCCTTTGGTATGAACATTAGAATGGAGTTTCTATCTCTGCTANGCGGGTTCCATCCTTGGTCAGGGCATGTGTGGGAGGCAACGGTTCGATGTTTCTCTCTCACATCAATGTTTCTCTCTTTCTCTCTCCTCTCCTCTCTCTGAAATAAATAAAAAATTTCTCTGTGGCATTTACTTTTTTTTAGCTTTTCTTATCATATTTTTATGAATTCTTTCCCTTTGGTATGAACATTAGAATGGAGTTTCTATCTCTGCTAGACATCTCTATTTTAACAGTACTCCTGTTCATGGAACAACCTTATCTTCTTTCACGGCTCCAGACTCCTATCTTGGGCTCCCCTGTTTGACACTAGCACCTCCATTTTCCTTATTGTTCTGAAACCTGCCTTGATCTTATTTTCTATCTTGTTTACAAGCTCTGTGTATTCTACCTGTCATGTGCCTTTCATTTCTTTCTTTCCATTTTTATTATACACTGCAGTAATTCTGATTGGTTCTTGCTTGTACTATCATAGTAGCTCTCCTCCTGATTCCCTGTTTTCAGAGTTCCCTCTGCCAGTTCATGTTTCAAAGTGGTGCTAGATTAGTATACTGAATCGTTTTTATCATATCAGTCTAAAACCACCAAAAACTCTAATTCCTACTGGATTAAACAAAAAACTCTTACTGTGGCATTTAAGACAATTTACCTACAACCCAACCTATATTTCAAGGCTTTCCTTCCAGGTTTCCCAATTATTCTTTTTGTCTCAACCCAAGGTAGGTAGACCTTTCTCAAATGCACTGCACGTCTTCCTGAAGCCTCCATGCTTTTATTCAAACTGTTTGCTCTGACTGAAACGCCTACTGCTGCCATCTGTTCCCTCTAAATTCTAACACATGCTTGAAGTCCATCTCCAGGTACCTGTTTTGCCTTTTCCAGTCCTTCTCTTCAGATGAGATCTTCTCCCTCCTTGAATCCGCATAGCACTCACTATATTTGTACCCCTCCTCTTACTGCTCACACATACATAGACCTCCTAAAGAAAACTCATTCTGTTTCATGTTCTATTTTTTGTGTCCTTTTTGGACACCTTTCCCACAGACTCCTTAACTGTAATGATTGCATTTTACTTACATTCCAAATCCTGCGGAGTGTGCCTCCAAGACCTAAAAACTACTAGATAGTTATTAATGCTGATTAAATTGAATATTTACCTTGGAAATACTATAGCCATTAACACACTCTTCTGAATGCTTGGTATTGGCCTTCTGCTGATTGGTAGGCCCATTTATGAAACTCAGATTAGAATTCAGAGTTTATTTATTTATTAATTTTTTAATTCTCACCTAAGGATATTTTTTCCATTGCTTTTCAGAGAGAAAGGAAGGAAGAAGAGGGAGAGAAACATAGATGTGAGAGCGACACGTCGGTTGGTTGCCTCCCTCACCCAGACCAGGGCCAGGGATAGAGCCTGCAACCAAGGTACGTGCCCTGTTTTGTTTTTTTTAAATATATCTTTATTGATTTCAGAGAGAGGAAAGGAGAGGGAGAGAGAGATAGAAACACCTATAATGAGAGAGTCATTGATCAAGCCCGCAACCCGGGTATGTGCCCTGACCAGATATTGAACCCCGATCGCCTGGATCCTAGGTCGACACTCAACCGCTGAGCCACGCCCGGCCGGATGGTCCGTGCCCTTGGCTGGAATGGAACCCAAGACCCTTCAATCAGTGGGCCAGTGCTGTAACCATTGAGCCAAACTGGCCATGGCAGAATTCAGAGTTTAGACAATTCAGTTGGCTAGTGGGAAATCAAGAGTGAATGCTATTTCTTTCTACTCTCTCTGTCTTTTACATTTTGAAAATGAAATGTATTTTAATAAATACTGCCTTTATAATTATTCAGAGTGTTTTGTGGGAAACTCTGTATGTGTATACATTATATATATATATATATATATAGCCTGTTTTCCCCATGAGTACTACAAGATCCAGACTAGGATCATGTATTGCTCCTGGTTGTCATATCTCACTTGTCTCTTTTAATTGTGAACAGTTTCTTAGGATTTCTTTTTCTTTCATGACACTGACATTTTTGAAGAGTCACATGCCATTAATTCTTGTCTTAATTTCTCTTTAAATTATGAATTTAAGTCCAACCAACTTTTTGATATTTCATGTTATTTAGAATTCAGAATATTTTGAAGACTCAATGAAAATACACAGGCACTTTCTTGGGATGCCTTCACTTTCTAACAGCTCTCAGTTACAGTTGACTTCTGTTAAAAAAAATGATTCAGACACTTGCCAATGCTGGTAAAGAAGACTTTATTCAAGAGGGATGACTGCAGTGTGGGCTTTGCAATTAGGGAGAAAGTTTGGGCTTACCTCTGAATACATCAGGGACAAGTGGAGATTTATAACCAAGGAGCAGGGTGGGGGTCTGTGGAAGGAAAATTACTAAGAGAAAACTTTAAGATTTGGACTCTTGCTAGATCGACTCAAGGACTTAACTGGCTCCTTGCTGAGGCCAGGCAAGAGTGATAAGCTGTGGAGGGTTGGGGATGAGGAGTTTGATCATATATCAAGGGAGGGAGACTTTTGCTAAACTGAGGTGGCAGGATTCTTGCTAAAACTGGTCTAAGCAGGCCAAGGACAGAGGCCAAGTTCAGGAAGGAGGGCTTTCTCTTTCCTGTTTTGTCCTGTGAGTTTCGTTTTATTCTTAGATACTTGCAGTTCCTGTGATTATTCCCCCAGCATCATTTCTTCACCCCAGTGACAGTGGTGTCTTTCTATAGTAGTAGCTACATTCACTTAGAAGCTTTTCCAGTCCTTGCAAAAGTAGCCCATCATGCACCCCGAGGGCCACCAGCTACCCAGAGCCCCTTCCTCAGAGGTCTGATTTTCAGTTCTGCTGGGCCCTTCTCTCAAGCTTCTAAATTTTAATAATCCCAGCATTGTCCTTTTGTTCTCTCAGCACTAAGGCTTGTAGCAGCTTATTCTAGCTGCTACCTTAATGACATCTTAGTCTTCTCTTCTTGCATTTTGAGTTGCCTCGTTAACAACTTTGTTACCTAACAATTCCTCATATGAACTATTATGATTTCTGTCTCCTGACTGAATCCTCACTGAAATATAGCAAAGGCCAAAGGCCAGGACTTTGGGCTGGTTAACTTGTGTGCTTTGACTATGCCCAATAATGCTTATAAGCACTGGAGCTTGAGCTAAGTTTGACGCCACAAAAGGTGATAAAATAGAATGAAAGTAGCTTTAGCATCCTGAACCTGGTCAAGTCAGCGCAGCTGATGAGTTGATGGCTATTTTCACAGGTTACACTGTTTCCCTTATTTTTCCACCTTTCCATTTCCACTATCCTCTCACAGAACTGTTTTTCTCTTCCCAAACTGAAACTGCTTACCTATTCAATACTAACTTCCTACTTCTCCCAGTTCTCAGTCCCTGGCACCATTCTACTTTCTATCTCTATGAATTTGACTAGGTACCTCATATAAGTGAAATCAGTTATTATTTGTAATTTCTTCACTGGCTGTTTCAGCTAGCATAATGTCTTCAAGGTTCACCCATGTTGTAGCATGTGTCAGCATTTTCTTCCATTTTAAAGCTGAACAATTTTACATTGTATGTTTATACCACATTTAAAAAATCCATTTATCTATCTGTCCGTGGACACTTGGGTTGCTCTCACCTTTGTCTGTTGTGAATAGTGCTGCCACAAACATGGATGTAAGAGCCATTTTTAAAGCCAGCTACCATAGTGGGCAACTGGAGTTTGATTCCATAAGGACACTCTGCGGATTGCCTGTTTTATAGCAACTTCTGTCAGTCCTTGGTTGATGGCTGCTTGAGAGAGGTAACTTCCCTGGAAAGTACAACTTCTTAACCAAGGGCAGGCAGAGCAACATTCTGTTGTTCTTGCAAAAACCCACTGGCAGGGGAATACTGACGCTGACGGCCAGAAGCCAACAGGGGAAGTGGTAAGGTCCTGGGGATACGTATGAGGCCCCAGCCACCCCCTATCATGTCTATCATGATCATGTCAATTATGATCACACCCATTGGTTTTAATTCCAATCGTGATCACTCCCATTGGTTTTAGTTCCAATCATGATCACACCCATTGGTTTTAGTTCCAAGGTTTTTCTCTAATCCATCTTAACACACAAATTCTCAAATGTTCTTTCTGCTTCCAGTCTCTCTCCTCTCTGCGCTATTGGCCACAATGCTGCCAAAGTCATGTTTTTCTGAAACACAGATTTAAACATGCCAGCCCGGCCGGGCGTGGCTCAGCAGTTGAGCGTCGACCTAGGATCCAGGCGATCGGGTTTAATTCCCGGTCAGGGCACATGCCTGGGTTGTGGGCTCGATCAATGGCTCTCTCATCATTGATGTTTCTATCTCTCTCTCTCCCTCTCCTTTCCTCTCTCTGAAATCAATAAAGATATATTTAAAAAAAAGAAAAAAAGAAAAGCTCTCTTTAGAAAAAAATAAAAATAAAAATAAACATGCCAATCCTTTCCTTGAAAACCTGGTGTGTAGAATTTGACAGTCAGTTACTTTACCAATCACTTACTCAAGTAACATGGCCTCCTCTTCACTATTAGGCCCAGCCATACCTCTCTCCCCACCTTCTCATAGACACTATGATCGACTGTACTCTCTCACCACCTTGAGCTTTGGCTCATGCTGTTTTCTAGGCTCTCAATACTCTTTATCCATGTGGCAGATTTCAATGCATCATTGAGGCTCAGCTCAAACATCCCTGACGTTTTCTCTCATCTCTCTGAAGGCTGGGCTAATTTTTTCCTCCTGTTTACTGGTTGGTTTTGCCTTTCCCATATTGATTATTATATTGTTTTAATTATTAGCACATCTGTCTCTCTTCCTGGATGTTGGGCTGTACCAGGCATTTCTGGATCTCCCACTCCCTATACATTTTTACTCAGTAAATCTTTCCTGAGTGAATAAGTGATTAGTTAAGTGACTGACCACCAAAGCTCATCAAAAAGGCCATGAAAAACTGGTGAACTTCTTCAGGATCCTGTCAGTCATTCTAATAGCTGGCCACCTGGCATATGAATGATGTTAGAGTGAAATAAGTAGGAGCAATAAAAGTTCTTTTGAAATTATAGTGTAGGCCAATTCAAAATTTCACTGCTAGTGTTAACTTATAACATTTAATAGGAAATTGAGGTGTATGTGTGTGAATAGGATATAGACACATTTTCAGCAGCTGGGGCCAACACCAATATGAAGACTTCCTTGTGAGTGTGCAGGAGATCATGGTATCACTTGTGCATTATCAGGAAACGTTAACTATCAACAGTGCTATAAGCAGGCATCAGGATGCATACCACGGGTTAATTGATGGCTTCTATATTGTATAGACACACTTTATTTTATTTAAGTGATAGCCCAGATGTAATTATTCTTGTTTTCAGGTAAAAATCTGAAAATACTTAAAAGCTTGTCATTTTGCAGGCAAGGGATGTGGACTGTAGTTCTCCCTGGAGGCGGGGCTCCTACTGTGGGTCTGGGGATGAGGTGAGCCCTGCTGGAGGCCAAACACTGCCCCTGTGAGTGACTGTCCAGGGCAGTGCAGTGCCCGGGAATAGAGAGAAGGATTTTGGTTTGTGGTTGGAACAGGACACTTAAATGTGGCCAGCAATCACAGTGGGTAGGTATACAATGATGTGAGTAGTCACCGGTACTTGTGTAAAGTTTTTGGCCATGTATCAACAGAAAGGAGAAAAAGCCTGCGTCTGTGATTGGATTAGAGAGAGTTTTGCAATGAGCTATAACATCAAGAGACATTTGAAGTAGCTTAAAGAATTGGGCTTTATTGGAGCAGAGTGTAGGTGCTGTTTACAGCAAAATATTTTTGGACAGACAGACCTCCCAAGACCTGAAGACTTATCCAAGTTCTCACTGTTAGTAAGGTTAATTCATGAAGCAGAGCAGGAACACGCCTAGGTGACCCTCAGGGAATAGAAAAGCAGAGCAGGGTTGGAAATTCCAGCTTGGACTTGGGAAGATGGAGAAGGAAAGAGCCTCTTCCTTGTTGGCAGAAGCATCCCTGATAGAGCATGCCCTATTCCGAGCCCTCTGTCTGCCCAAATACTCTTTATGATGATCGGAGAGGAGGCAGCTCGCAGCGGCAGTCCACGAGGACCCAGGCCCCTTCTCTGATTCTAATGCAGACAACAGGTTGAATAAAACCAATATACAAGCCATTTTCTATTTCTAGGTGGCAGGGGTAAAGGGCCTAAGGACCACTGTGTTTGTACAAAGTGTTGAGAGTCAACAGCACATCAAATGCAAAAACAATTTATTAGTTGGCATTGAAGTTAATCATTTTTTCCTTGCACGGTTATCCATTCTCTCATTAGGACTTGAAGCTTTCTGCTGGAGGCTAAGGGTTGAACCCACTGAAGGAGAGCTCCTGCTCCCACTGGTGGCACAGTTTGGAAGGGAAAGAATATGTTCAGGAGCATCTATCCCCCTATTTGTAGGAGGCAGACATCCTGAAGGAAGGACAGGATGCCCACCTCATGATGCTTCTTTTCAGTTTGGGAATCAGAGTCTCAGGAGAGCCCTTTGACACATGTGGTGGCCATGATGACAGAGACAGGCTGGGGAATGTAGCTCACCTTTCTGGCTGATCTTATATCATGAAGGTGCTGGTCTTAGGTAAAAATATGACCTCCCATTTCCTGGTCTCCCAAGGTCTGCCAAGGTCTGCTGACCCACGGGGACCCCTGTCTGATCCAGTGGCTCGAGACCTAGGGGAGCCCAAGGTGGAGCACAAGAGACTTTAGGAAGTGAGCTCCTGGTGAGTGTACTGGGGGAGAGAGTTAGAAAGGGACTGTGTCTAAGGGATAGAGACGAAGTCATATCCCAAGAGGGCTCAGTCTTAACCCAGGTTCTAGGAGAATTAAGAAGGATTAGGGCAGAGAGGGGGGGCATGGGTAGAGAGTGGATCTTGTCTTTCTCTCATCCACTTCTTGGAGGAAAGAATCTATGACATACATTAGTAATGAACTACACAACTATTCTCTTTCCTTGGAGAGTGGAATAAAAGCCAGTTTTGTTGCTTAATACCACAGCTGCCTCCTAGGGAGCATGAATCCTGGTAATTAATATGACTCCCCCTCAAGCCCTTTTTCCTTTCTGCTGAATTCTAGGTGTCTTGGTTACGAAGCCAGGTAATATGAACTGCCAAGAGCTAAACTGTCCTGGCCAATTAAAGAAGAACTTGAAGTCTCTTTGGCAATCCATGAAAGAAGAGGTGAATGCCTTAGAGATATTATAAGTGATGGTCTGAGGCTGGGTTATATGAGGTGTAATGCCAGTAGATGTTTCTGGGGTAATATTAAGAATGAAATATTTAATGTTTAATAGGATTTATTTAAGTTGATGTAATAAAGTCCCCTTCCCCAATCAGCTTGCTTCAACCTGAATGTTCAATAAACTCATGAATGCTGAGTTTTTTTTCTTTCGTGTGAAATGAGCAGAGCTTCATGGGGATGAGAGACATAGTGTGCAAAGAAACAGGGGCCCAGAGTTAGAGGCAACTGTGAAAATGGGAGTATCTTGGGGTGACTATTTGTTTGAAGGGTTTGGAATTGGGTGATTCAAATCAACCTTAATCTACCCCTAACAGGGAGGATGTTCCTGGGTGAGAATGGGTCACATAAGACCAATTTTGATGAGGTGGTGAGAGCAGAAGTCAGATATGAGCCCCCTACTGAATGAATCAGAGGCGAGAAAATAGAAACAGTGGATAATTCTTCTAAGTCATGGAAATTGTACAGGATGCAATTTAGTTGGTGAAATATGCTGCAGATCTTGCGTTCATCGCATTGTACTTAAAGTAACAGGACACAGCGGATACTAAAAAAAGAAAGAAAAGAAAAATAAATGGAAAAATTTCCAAAACAACATTTGTGTTTTGGGTTTCACATTTTCACTTTCTGGACCAGTAAGTTTCATGTTATGTGAAAAATGGGCAGATTAAATCAGTGGTGAGATTTTTCAAAATTACATGGAGTTCCAAGGGTGAGGAATATGTGTGCAGACCTGTACCCTTGTGGGGTTGCCAGTGTCCAGTTTATGGCTGGTGTTCAGTTTGTGGGCCAAAGACAGGTGTCAGAATTTGAAATTCTAGGGATAATTTCTTTGAAATAGAACAACAATGGCCTCTTCATAAACTATGAACTTAAACTTGAGCTAAAATTTTATTTGCCAACCTCATTAGTTAATGTTTCATATAAAAATGCCAAATTGGAAATAAAATGCTAATGGTAGGGGTAGACTATCACTTAAATATTTTCAGGATAACATTTTTCTTTTTGTAAACTGGAAGTGAAATAAAGAGGGGGAGGAGATGTTTACAAATTGCTGAAAACTTCTTCAGTTGTCTGCGTGTGGCTTTGCCAGCTGTGGCTTCCTTTCCCCTGCCTCCCCAACTTCCACACGCCCTTTCTCTTGGCCACAAACACTCAGACATAAACATTATTGCAGGAACTTACCATTTTCCAGTTTTCATGAATCCAACTGCTTCATTGATTTTATCAAGATTCATAGTATGGGTAATTAGTGGATCTAAATTAAACTTCTTTGCCATATAATCAGAAACCAGTTTAGAGACGTTCTGTCTGCTTTTCCAGCCTGGAAATACAACAAATTAACAACAGATTTTATTCATTAGGCTCACTCTACAAGAAGGGCCATTCAGGTCAGTTGCTAGAGGTGTTGGCTTTGACTGAGGAAATCTAAGGATTCCCCATTCACTTGTGTCAGTCCTCAGGAGCATGCCTGTCCCAAACATATACCCTGTATAGCAGGCTGTTTTCCTGAACATCTTGAGACCTCTGGTACAATAGAGAATTTACTTAAAGCAAGTATACTGTGGACCTTGTTTTAGATGATCTTGGTGTTAAGTCGCACTGTCTGAGAGCTGTAAACCCACATGTAATGTATAACCAAGGGCCAAGTCTTGGGAACCATGAAAGGAAGCATTTCAAAGGTGAGAAATAGGACATTTCATATATGTGTGTGTGTCTGTGTGTCTGTATGTCTGTGTGTGTGCATGTGTGTGTTTTGATCTGCAGTTTCATGAAAGAGCCAAATATCTTAAAGGAAGAGTTTTCGCCATGGCAGTGATCTCAGTGACAGCTTTGGACAAAAGCAAGGTAAGAATGAAATGTACCTTCTGGAAGTAAGAATTGCACAGGGAAAGATGGGGTCAGCCAAGGGAACAGAAACTTAGCATTGTATTTTCTCTGTTTTCATAATTTTCAAGAAATACTTTTATGTTTACGACTGTGCAAAGTGACATACCCAGCAAGTCACCACACAGAAGTGGGGGCCTGCTTGTTTCTGGAGAGGGTGAGTGTGGTGTAATTGGGCAAGGAGATAGCAGTGTCCTGAGCAGCTTATTCTGTGACAGGATCTTGGCCATTACTTGCTTTTCTTGGTTGCAGCCTGGGCCACGTTCTTCATGCTTCCCTCTTATTCTCAAAGTTACCTAAAACTATCCCAATATTTTGCATTTAAGTTGGTTTCTGTTATGTGTAATCAAGAATTCTAACATGCTGTATGTCATGACATGAAGGGCTAGTATATTTTTCTGTTTGTTTTTATCTTTTTTCCAAAAATTGAGATATCATTGACATATAACATGGTATCAGTTTTCAGTACACAGCATCATGATTTGATGTATGTCTATATTGTGAAATGATTACTGTTAAACTAAGTTTAGTTAACATTCATCATCACACATAGTTACAAATTTTTTTCTTGTGATGGCAACTCTTAAGATCTGTTTGTTTTTATTTTTTGATTGGTGATTTAATAAAGCATTTTCATATCTATATAAGAAACACTTGCACTTGTTTCTTGTTTCTTCTTTCAGCCAAACAATCTAAAAAGGAAGGCTCCAGGACCACAGACTAGGCTAGGCAGTGTTTCTTAACAAGAGCAGTAATGGCATTTTGGGTGGGAAAATTCTTCACTGTGTACGTTGTAGGAAGTTTAGCAGGCCTGTTCAACACGCAGTCAGTGCTATCCTTAATTGAAAACTATTGAACTAGAGAAAGGAATTAACTTAATGATCATTACATGAATGTTTAAGTGGTGTGTGAAATAGTTTATTAGGATTATTTAAAATATTGGTGATCTTATTTTATAAGAGTTAGCTGAATATTTGTNCGTGTGAAATAGTTTCTTTATTAGGATTATTTAAAATATTGGTGATCTTATTTTATAAGAGTTAGCTGAATATTTGTATTTGGAATGAAATGAAGGAATTAAAATTACAGTCTAAACTGAATTATTACTTTTTTTCCCTGGCTCTGTCATTTATCTACTTTTTGTAAATGAATAGGGTAAGATCCTAGTACCTGTAGGCATACACCACCATAGCTAATTTGGAGACCACAGTGAGCTCACTGGTTCACATAATGCAGATAGCTCCTAATTCTCATCTCTCTTGCCCAAGAATTCAGATTGCCCCAAATTGCTAGCTAAATACATTTCTTCTTAAATATCAGATTACTTGCTTATATGCCCAGGATCCTAAGCAGATTTATTTAATTTAGCTTTTTTATACTTTTTAATAAAAGACTTCTAACATCTATAAAAATATTTCTAAAACAAATTATTTTATGATTTTTCTCCCTCAAAAACATAAATCTCATTTGCTTTTTATCAGTAGTATTTCTTTTCAGTCATGAATCCATTGTGTTTGCGTTGGTATAATGACAATTCAGTTTCAGATAAAATTTACACTGTGGAACAATGACTACTAATGGTTCAATATATCCTCCAAAGAACCCTAGTTGGCAGGTGTATAACTCAAGGGAAATACAGTTGTTGATTGCAGAATTGCCATTTCTTTACAATTTAGAATTTGCATTAAACTTTGGACACTGGTTTCTTCACCAAGTTTTAAGTCTCTTCTCTCTCTTTGCATGAGAAAAAGCTTACCAAGAAGCCACTGTAGACATCTAATATCCATCCCCTTATCTCGGATATTTATGTGTTGAAACAAAAACTGTAGTCTAAAGCTCTTGTTTTATGTGTCTCCTCAAGCATTTATGATACGTTTTTCTATTACCCCCCCTTTTAACCCCCACAGATTTCCACTCTTCCATACCTCCAAAAACAGATCCCTTCAAAGATCGTCCTGAGAAGAACAAGTAGCCATTGATGTTGAGCTGGACACCATAATCCAAGAGCCCAACAATCACACAGACCCCATGGCTCTCGTGGCAGGAGGCCAGGGCAGCTGCCTGTTGTAAAACAATGCAAGACAATGCAGGGGTTAAAAGATGTGCCTCAGAGGTAGGAACCTAAGTCTAAACCTCAGCTTGACTGCTGAGTGGGCTGTGGCCTTCTTTTCTGGTTTTCTCTGTCCTCTGAAATAACATTTATCTTATAAGGAAATGCTGAAACATAAATAAGGCATTGTGTACTGCCAAGTATATATAGTATCTGGCATTTTAGATTCAACAGATAGAAATTAAAAAATGAAAATACTAAAGGTACCCATGGTAGTAATACTACTGTAGCTACTACTACTACTATGGCTACTACTAATAATTTTTTTATTGTGACTCTATTACAGATGCCCCCCATTTCCCCCGCCTTTGCCTCCCTCCACCCTGCTGCCACCCTTCCTAGGCCTTCCCCACACTATTATCTGTGTCCATGGGCTATGCATATATGCATATATATTCTTTGGTTGATCTCTTCCTCTCCTCCTTACCCTCCTCCCCTCTGAGATCTGTCATTATGTTCCATTTATCCATGCTTCTGGTCCTATTTCGTTCATCAGTTTATTTTGTTCTTTAGATTCCATATATAAGTGAGATCACGTGATATTTGTCTTTCTCTGACCATCTTATTTTGTTCAGCTTAGAAGTCTCCAGGTCCCTCAATGCTGTCTCAAAGGGTAAGAGTTCCTTCTTTCTACTTCTAATTAAGAACCATTACTGATACTAATGGTTAGAGTTGACATTTTCTTTTAAACATCAAAGAGTACAATTGGATATTTGTATAGCATCATGTATTAGCAAAGAGATAAACTAATGTTCCCATTAGTTATTTTTAAAAGCTATTTCTCAGAGCCAGACTGTCTGTGGGAAAGACTGTGAGAAAGGTTTTCCTATATCTTTTAACAGAAGAGGAAACGTATGTGTAGTGAGGAATGAAAAGATTTTGTAAGCTAAAGAAAGGACCTCAGCTAGAAGAGATAGTTCTTGGGTTTCCATTCAGCTGACTAGAAGATGGAGCCATGTAACCCAATAATACGTTTCTACAAATCCCCCAGGAAAGCAGGTCTCAAATTGTGAAGTAACATTTTCTCCATTCATATTCTCTTATGTAAACCATGTTTAGCCAGAAAAGTAACAACTTTTTTTTTTTTTGGAATGATTCTGTTTAATCAAGATTGGTAAATATTTATCTTGGAAACATCTCACATCCAACCTGAAAAGACTTTGCTGAAAGTGCAAAGCTCATCGCTTTATATGATCATTAATCCAATATTGTCCTTACCCTGCCGAAATCTTCTGGGTTAGAACTTAAGTTACTGGGTTTTGCTTGTTATGAAACAATCCAGTGAGAATTCTTTACAGAGCCTTTTTGTTCTGCCTGTTGGAGGTTTTGTGCTTATTTGAAGGAATGGCATGATGGAACAGAGGGAGGAGAAAACTCAGTATGGGAGTTCAGTGTCTGGGGTAATGAACAGATTTGTAGGAGCAGACAGAGGGTAACGGGTAAGATGTCACGGGGCACAGGAAAATTAACTAGAGGAATGTGGAAGAAATTTTAGAATTTTCATTCAAGTAAAATCTACAATGATGACTGGTAGAAATACTGGTAATTTTCATTCCAGAGGCTCACATACCACCATTTCTGGATTTCCAATGACCTCAAAGCAAAATTCTACACCAGTTCCTGTCATTTCAACTAAAACTTCATGGATAGGTTTCTTGAAATCCTGTGGGCTGATGCACTCAGTGGCACCCACTTCCTTCGCCTTCTCAAATTTGTCTTTGTTGACGTCTACCCCAATGATCCTGGCCGCTCCAGCCGCTTTACAGCCCATGACAACAGACAGGCCGACTCCTCCAAGGCCAAACACTGCACAGGTGGAGCCTGGGGTCACCTGAGCACATAAAAGCATAAAACAGAAGCAAGGAGAACACAGAGATTTATTCAGTTGGAAAGACGAAGTCTGTATATACTTTTTTGAGACATAAAACAAAGGATATTTTCAAATAAAACACATAACTAAATTTGTAGTTTCTCAAGGTATTTCTAAATGTGGGATACTTTTTACCAGAAGAGCAAAAAATTACCTGCAAAGAGAGTGTTTCAACCCAGGAATTAGCATGGGTAGAAGCAATTTAATGAACTTTCATTGAATCTTAAGACTTATTTGGCACAGTATTTATTTAGCTTCAGATATTTTTGAGATCTTTAAAACCATCTCATCTTCCTACAACCCTTTTTTCTTTCTCTTGTGAATATCTGTAAACTTTGCATTGTTTACAATGTCAATGCCTTATGAAGGCAAGGGCTTATTTTTTATTGAGTCCCAGCTGAGACTAATTTAAATGGAACACCTTATACCCTATCTCTCTGTATAGTATTGGGACTAATGGAAATTGGGAAAAATAAAGAACTAAAATTCAACAGACAATTAAAGAATGGAGCTGGGCAGGATTGGGTGAGGTTCCAAAACAGATGTATGACAGTAATCCACTCAATCAGAGTGGGGTTACTGACCAATCTGTTTTATAGAGCAACACCCCTTTTGTCAGTTGGTCTTTCTACTGTCCTTTTCTTTTTATGAGCACTGATCACCACCTGATGCATTATACAACAGAATAGAAGCTCGATGAGTTTTGTTAGCTGCTGAATCTCCTCACCTGGAACAGTGAATGACTCCATAAATGTTTGTTGAATGAAAAAAAGAATGAACTACAATGTGGAAGGACACATAGTCATTTTGTGACTGTATTTTGTTTAACTCCCAGGAATTCCTGATGTCTTCACTTGTGAGTGGAATCCAGATATAATTTGTCATTATTGGCTAAAGGGAATGGGAAAGATGTTGAAGAGGGTATGGGATGACTAGACAGATAGTAAAGAACTCAAGGATGTTTAGAGGAAGGTTTGTGAATCTTCCTCAGGTTGTATGATCAGACATGACCCAGGTGCATGAGGCCTGTCAACACCACATACCAAGAATTCCATTCATAATGAGTATAAATGCTTCTCACCTTGGCAGTATTGATCGCAGCACCGTACCCAGTGGAAAAACCACAGCTAATGAGGCATACTTTCTCCAGAGGAGCCACTGAATCAATCTTGGCTACTGAGATTTCTCTAATCACTGTGTATTCAGAGAAGGTGCTCGTATTGGCAAAGTGATATATTGGTTTTCCCTTGCAGGTAAACCTACTGGTACCATCAGTCATCAGGCTGGTATGCGACTGTCTTTATAGATCAAACAACAAACAGAATTATTTTATTTTAAATTACAAAGCTTAGAGTCTTCCCAAGGACATTGAATTAACTTTTCAAAAAGAAAATATTAGTAAAAACTTACTTTAATTGTATACAATAATTGTCCTCAGAATTAAGGCAAGAGGCACACTCTCCGCACTGTGGTAGAAAGAGTGTGATCACTTTATCACCTATGAGAACAAAATCATTTAATGTTATCTTTTAAAGTAAAGAGATAGCTGTTTCTCAAGACCTAAACAGCAAGGCACCCAAGAAAATATGAGTACTGAGAGCAACTTCCACATTTAACTGTGTTAATACTATGGAGAATGTGAAATACTTACTAAGAGTCCCCTGGACTCAGCGGCTGAATCCCAAGGAGCTGGCCCCAGATTTGCCTTCTTTGTAAGTTCCATTTGAAGTTTCAAATGATTTTATCATGTAGCCATTAAGCCACATCTTATCTTTCATTCTCCACACTAACTTCTGCTGTTGGGAGTTGTATTTAAAGTAGCATGGATACCACATGCTCACAATATGAGCTTCTGGATTAGGGAGAAAGGATTGCCTATATGCTGTTCTGTGTACTTCACATCAGTTCTTTCTCCTTGGCTGTGGAGACCAAAGGTAGGTAGATTTTTCTAGGATTGTTCAATGTATAAGGAGAAGATCAGAATAACTTGCCTGTGATGGACTTTCTGACTGCCCCATTGTCTACCACTGTAAACGAGCAATTTATTTCATATTTTTAGTTAAAAAACCTTTGTAGGATGACAGTTCTTTTGTTTTAATTATTTTTAGTTTTTAAAAAGTTACAGACATATGGTAAGAACTTAAATGCATAAATGTGAAGATTAGCTCCCTAGTTTCCAGTTCCCCTTTCTCCACCCTGGAGATAATTACTCTTCTCAGTGTCCATGGTATTTTCAGAGATATAACTCCTTTAAAAATACAAAGAGTAGCATACTATTTACCTTTGGTTTTTTACTTGCAGATTTCTTATTTTAGTACATATAGCACTCTATCATTTTGTTTAATAGTTATGTAGTATTATGTTGTTAGATATGTCATAATTTATTTAACCAGTCCCCTGGACATTGATAGACATTTAAGTTATTTCCTGCCTTTAAAACTTTGTGTTGTTTTATTTTTTCCTGAGATGAGAAATAACAGTGCAATGAATATTTTGTGCACATGTGGGTTATGGTAGGCAGGATTTCTAAAATGGCCCCCAAAGACATCCCGTCCTAATCCCCAGAAACTGAATTTGTTGTTACCATGCCAGTGAGTATGTTACATGGAAAAGGGGCCTTTGAAGATAAAATTAAGGTTACTAATCAATTGACATTAAAATAGGGAGTATCCTGGATTATTTAAGCAGAATCAATGTAATCACATGAGTCCTTGAAAGGAGACCAGAGGAAAGCAGAAGAGAAAGACAAAGCAATTCCAAGCATGGGAAGGATTTGATGTGCTATTGTTGCTTTGAGGCTGTAAGGGGGTGGAGGGACCTCACAGGAAGGAATGTGAGCAGCTTCAGGGAGCTGAGGGCAGCCCCAGCTGAGAGCTGGTCAGTCCTACAACCTCAAGTAATTGGATTCTCCAGAGTGTCCAGATAAGAACCCAGCTGGCCAACGCTTTGATTTTGATCTTGTGAGACCCTAAGCAGACTTCTGACCTACAGTAATAGAGATAATAAATTTATTTTGTTTTAAGCTGCTAACTTTGTGGTGATTTTTTTTTTACATTAGCAATAGAAAGCTAAGATATGGGTATATATATCTATGGAACAACTTTCTAGAATTGGAAGTATTGGGTCCATAACAGGTGTATATAAATGATGTCACATATTTTTCAATTTAAAGTTTTTCAAATTTACTTTTTAAATAATAAGGTATGAAGGAGTTGGTTGCGTACAGTCTTGTCTACCTTATATATTATTAAACTTTTAAATCTTTTCTAATTAGTTAAGTAAAGTGTTTTACCATTGTATTAAAAATTTTTGTTTATTTAATATGTTTGAGGTTGGGCTCCTTTTCACATGCTTCAAAGCATTTGTGAATCTTCAAAGCAACATATATATATATATATATATACATATATATATATGTATATATATATATATATGTATACACACACACACACACACACATACATATGTATGTATTTTTCCCCCTCCAAACTAGATGTGTATTTCCTTTGCCCATTATTCTGCTGGGCTGTTTTTTTTAAAAAAATGTTTTTAAAAAATTCTTTATATATGAAAGAAATTTGCCCATTGTCTTATTTGTTTGTTGATTTGGGGAGGGTATTTTTATCTTTTAATCCTCACTGGGAGATATGTTCTTATTGATTTTTAGAGAGAGAGGAAACAAGAGAGAGCAGGAAACATCAATGTGAGAGAGAAACACTGATTGGTTTCTTCCAGTATGCGCCTCGACCAGGGATCAAACCCAAAACCTAGCTATGTGCCCTGACTGGGAATTGAACCTGCAGCCTTTTGGTGTGTGGGACGACACTCAAACCAACTGAGCCACTCAGCTAAGGCTGGGAGGGTATTTTTTATAAACAAAATTTTAAAAACTTTTTATGTTATCAACTTTATATATTATTTACATCTTCTGGGTTTTTTTACTGATTAAAATTTCCTTTTCTCCTTTGAAATAATACAATATTCTCTTATGGTTTTTATACACTTCTATGCTTTCACTTTTCACATTTAATTCCTAGATTCATATAGCATTTTTATTTTATATAAAGAATGTAATAGCAACTCAACCTTCCCCCCCCAAGATGCCTATCAAGTTGTTTCAATGTCATTTATTGAATAATTATGTTTTTCTCCTCAAATTTGAAAGGCAGACCTAATTGTACATTTAATTCCTATATATATTTGACCCAGTTCTGGGCTCCTCTGTTTAGTTCCACTAATGTGTTTGACTATTTATCATATGCCTTATTGAAATAAATTCTTCAACAGTTTACCTCTTTTTGTAAATTTTTGTCTTATTTACACTTTCAGATCCTGTTTCAGTAAATTCTATTTCTAGTTCTTATTAATATAAAAAATAAATACAAAGAACGTAATACGTTTAACCTTTGTGTATAACATAATTATTCCTTTTCTAAGAAATGGTCAACGTTTCACCTTTTATTCACTTGATCTCATATTTTCCTGATGTAGGTTCGAAGTTGCTGCTGTTTCCTAACTCTAGGTGCCAGTTCATACCTGGTTTCACGGTGCTCACTCCTTCTCCCACACTCTCGACTATTCCAGCCCCTTCATGGCCCATAATGATGGGATAAGGCACTTGATTCTCCAACATTTTAATCTCTGTACCACAGAGCCCCGTGGCCACGATCTGTATGGGAGGCAAGGAGTAATATAGTTTCCTTTGTCTCAAATAAAGGTGTTTTAGAATTGTTAATGCTTTAAATCATTTCACTAGGTTGATATGCTACATTAACATTAATGCACTCATTTCTTAGTTTTATTTCTAGATGAGTGTAAATAATTTGCTTAAAGCAAAGCAATATTTTTCACTAGTTAATTTCAGAATCAAAATGATGATTTTAAAGCTTACTGGGGAGGTCAGAGCGGGTTCAGCAGAGACAGTTGTAAAACCACAGTGTGACATCAAAGATCTTTGTTCTTCATTGGAGCTTGCAGGTGGGAGTGTGGAAGAGAAAGACCAATTTTAGAAATGAAGGAATGGGAACACAAGGAGGAAGGATTCTATCTTCTATTATAGTTGAAGCCTTAAATTATTTCACGCAAGGGCTGTATAGTTGTATTATTGGTAGAAGTCATAATCCCACTTTTTGTTGTAAATCAGCCAGACAGTTTGAAATGGAGGCATCCAGAGCAGAGGTTCAGAAAGGCTGCAGTCCTGGCCTTGCCCTTCTTCGCTGTGTGACCTGGGGATAAATTATTCTTCATGAGTCTCAGTTTCTTCATCTCTAAATTGGTATGAGGTTGGTGTGCTTGCACACCCACACATGTCAAGAGATTATTGGAAGAATACTGTACAATTGCTTACAACCCAACTGTAGAAGTGCAGTCAGACTTCGTGGGTCTAGAAATCCATCCAGCAGACTTTGTCTTCATCTCTGTACTCTGATTCAACATGTGCAAAGCTGAATTTTCTTACTATTTTCTGAAGATGGGCTTTTTCTTCTTTTTAAAATATATCTTTATTGATTTCAGAGAGAGGAAGGGAGAGAGATAGAACCATCAATGATGAGAGAGCTGCCTCCTGCACGCCCCCCACTAGGGATTGAGACTGCAATCCGGGCATGTGCGCTGACTGGGAATCGAACCGAGATCTGGATCCTAGGTCGATGCTCAACCGTTGAGCCACGCCTGGCTGGGCGGGCTTTTTCTTATTTCTCATGATCATATGGTTAGAAATGGCTACCAGCTCTGAGTCCTTCCAGCCTCCCCAGTGCGCACCATCTCCTGCTTTACTCAGTCTCTGTATCTTGTGCAAATCCATGTGTGAGAGATTCATATTTGTAGCTTGTCGTGAGTGGCGACCCTGCGGGTAGGAGGGAATGGAGACAGCCACATGGCCTCTTGTGCACTCTGCATGGGATGACTGCCTTAGGAGGCTCTGAGAAGAGGGCATGGATTGCACAGGTGACTGGAAAAGGACCACTTCTTTGTAATCCATTACAAAGAGTACTTATTCATCATTATTAAAATTAAATAATAACAGTGAAGTCAGGTGAACAATGTTCTGGTCTGGTGGTCCCCTGTTAGAATTACTTGGGGGGAGATTTAAAAATTCTCCTGACCAGAGTATACCCCAGACCAATTACATAACAAATTCAGACTGTCTGAGGGTGGGAACCAGTTATTAGCATTTTTCAAAGTGCCCAGGTGCTTCCAAATGTGTAACTAAGTTTGAGAAAAGTTGTTGACATCTGTGTTCTTACTCTACTTAGCTGTGTGACCAGTCACTTCACCCCAGTGGATTTAAATCTTCTCATCTATAAAATATCAGGTATTCCTAACTAGGACTTAGACTTGATTTATCTGTAATCAAACAAATTTTTCATATATCAAATTTCAAGATAACTTAAATATCATGAAGAATATCATAAATAAATTTAAAAGTACAGATTAAAATATGGTTCAGGGATAGAAACTTCCTTTGATTAGTATTTAACACTACAGCTGTGAATACATATCCTTTGGGCATTTAGCCCACACTATACCACCCTAATTTTTTCTTTGGCAGAATTTAAAGACAGATGGATGTTTAATGAAAAAGAAATAGAAGAGTATGTAGTTTTCTTTCAGAACTTAACATTGTGAAAAGAATGTATAACTTACAGTGAACAGGTCTGATTTTTTGGTGTGGAAATGTGTATTTTTTCTCTTTACCTTTATGCGAACTTCCTTTGCTTTTGGTGGGGCCACTTCTACCTCCTCAATGGAAAATGGTGCACCTGCCTTCCAGAGCACGGCTGCTCTGCACTTGATAACCTGGGAAAGGGAATATGGGCAGAAAGGGAAACTCTTTAAACTTGGGAGATGGATTCCCATATTAATGATTATTAGAAAGTTTAGTCCAGTTCTTCCACACTCAAGCCCCCACTCCAAAAAAAAGTCATTGCTTAAATATATTCCCTGTGTAGCTTCTTGGACCCTAGTCCAACTTGTCTTTTACTATCAGTCTCTTCATTCAAATTAGTTTTGCAATACTAATTATATTTATATATTTATATAATGCCACATAATCAAGAGGATAGATGTCATACTTTTGATCTTGAAGTTGTCCAGTGGCTGTTTCAGGATGGGAATGGCATTGCAGTGTGGGAGTTATTTGTGATCCTAGGTGTGTGATCTTAGAATCAGTTTTGGGGTGGAGAGGTATGTTATGGAGCAGGGAATGGAGAACATCTAGTTGTGGCAATTCATCAAATGGTGGTCATAGGCAGGTTGAGGTTGGAGAAGTTGTTGGTGGCAAGGTAGTTCTTAGGGGTTCTGATTTCAGCCCGCCACTGTTCTCACTGTAAACTCTCTTCCTGTATGGTCTCACCTATTTTTATAGATTCCACAAGTACCTTATGCAGGTGACTTTGACAATTTGTATCTATGGACAGACTTGTCCCTAAGCTTTAGACTAATTTATTCATCTGCTATTTGAATATCCTCAGGTATCTTAAACTCAACACGTTAAAACATGATTACATCATCATTTCTTTCTCCTGTCCCCACCCCTCCCTGCCAGTGGTGGACATTACAAAACAACCTTACCCTCCCTCTGCTTTCTCTATTCCAAGTGGCCAAGTAACCTATTCACTCAAGAAAGAAAGAAACCTGGGAAGTAGTCTTAATTTTTATCTCTTCACCTCTGGAATCTGTCCCCTCTTCTCCATTCCTGCTGCTACTGTGTGGTCCAGGTCCTTACCTTGGCTTTTACCTGGCTTGGGCTCTTCACCTTCAAATCCATCCTCTATATCATTGCCATCTGAACTATAATCTTGATTATGCTAATCCCCTACCTAAAAATGATATGGCTACCTGTTGCTTATCAGGATCTATTGACATGGTCTTTAAGACTCTCCATGAGCTTCTCCCTATCTGTCTCTCTAGCCTTATTCCTGGTCACATTTTGCCTCTGACTTTACCCTCCTGGCACAAAAAATGTTTTGGAGTTTCTCATATGGGATATTGTTTTCTTCCTATGTTTCTCCCTCATGCTAAGTGTCCCCTTCTGTGGGAAGTCTAGCCAGATTTCTAGCCAGCACTTCCTCTTTCTTTTCTACCCCTGCATACTTTTTTTTTTTTTTTTCAAAGTAGCATAAGGCAGTTTATTTTTAGAAGATACATTTTATACCTGTTGCCCTCTGCTGGTTTAACAAAGAAATGTCTTTGAAGTCTTAGCAAAATAAGCAGGATATGGTCCCAAACCAGTAGCGTCAATATTTGTGTACTTGTCAGAAATGCAAATTATTGGGCCCTACCCCCAAGCTTAGTTACTCTGGGGGGCACCAGTAACAAGTTCTCCAGGATGTTGCTGTAAAAAACACTTGCACAGTCTTTTATAATTACTCTGTCTCTGTGAGATCTTTGAAGGAGGGGATGTGTCTTCAATTCTGGAAAGTTTGATCTAGGACTTGATATATTTCTTACTGAAGGACTAAAAACACTACGGAAAGGCAAACACATAAAGGGAGTAAAAGAAAAGGGAAAGGAGGAGAGGAACTAAGATTAAGACAGCCTCTCACCTTTAGGAGTACAGAGACTAGCTGGGTGATGAGGTGTTATTAAATAGAGAAGCACACAAACTGACAAAACTGTGACATGACATAAAGAAAACTGTACTTACTTTCCCTGTGGTATTCATGCTGACTTTCTTCGTGTTCTTCTTGCCACAAATGAATATATTGAGAAAGGGAGATTCTAGTTACAACTTTCCCCGTGGGAAGTTCAAGAGTACACAGGTCACTGGTTGATCAAAAGGCTGGGTCCTTTGCTCTTTGTGTGACCTGGTAAATGATATACCTGAAACTCCATTGTGTTGTTTCTTATCTGAAACAAATTTAGCTCAGTGAAAGTGCACAAAAAGTGAAATTTTGCAAAATCTTTTTTCTTTCAATCATGTAAAATATAATTAGTATCGCAAAACTAATTTGAATACAAAGACTGATAATACAAGAAAAGGTGGGTTGGGGTTCGGGAGCCTTCATATGGCATACATTTAACAATGATTTTTTTTTTCCTCAGGTGCAGAGGAACTGGACTGAACCTTCTAACAATCATTAGTGTTAGTATGTTCTCTGTTAAGCTTTTTTTAAAAAAAATCTCTTTATTGATTTCACAGAGAGGAAAGCAGAGAGAGAGAGAAACATCAATGATAAGAGAATTGTCATTGATTGGCTGCCTCCTGCATGCCCCCAACTGGGGACCAAGCCCACAATCCAGGCATGTGCCCTGAGCGGGATTCGAACCCTGATCGCCTGGATCCTAGGTTGATGCTTGACCACTGAGCCACGCCCAGCCAGGCTTCTCTGTTGAGTTTTAAATTTGGTCTTTTAAATGTACAGGGTTAAAATTTCTAGTAGAGTGCATAAAATTGTTTCTTTTATCTTATTTTTTAAATGTGGATATGATCATCTTTGTCTCTACACTTGAGTAATCCTTTTTATTTTCCAAAGGTGTGTTTCATTGAGAAATTAGGATGTTACTAAACGGTTTAATCTGGTAGTTTAGCATAAACTCCTCTCGTCTGGGTATGCTGAGCTGGTTACTCAGAGAAAGTGGAGCCAGTTTGCATAAGGAGCCTCACAATCAGGATTTGGATTTGAGAAAATCTCTTTATGTGAACTAAGAGTCCTGACCAAGACCCAGGACCCTGGTGAACAGTGGGGACAAGGAAATACATTTCCAATGAATGGCAACACCAGTGGGCAGGTTTTAGCTAGAAGGGAAGAGAAGAATAAATGCTCTTTCTGGGTCAACTGCTCTATCTGGATCATATAATTTTTCTTCTTAGCATGTTGATATGATGGATCATATTGACTAATTTCCAAATATTGAACCAGCCTTAATGTATCTGGAATAATCCCACTTGGTGTATAATTCCTTTTACATTTTGCCAGATTCATTTTGCTAATTTTTGTTAACGATTTCTGTGTCTATATTCATAAGAGTTATTTGTGTTAGTTTTCTTTCTTTGCGCTGTCTTTGATTTTGGTGTCATAATCATACTAATTTCATAAAATCGGTCCCTCCACTTCTGTTTTCTGGAAGAGACTGTGTAGAATTGGTGTTAATTCTTTAAACGTTTGGTAGAATTCCCCAGTAAAACCATCTGGATCTACAGATTTCTTTTTTGGGATGTTTTAAATTACGCATTCAATTACCTTAATATTTATAGGGCTATATAAGTGATCGATTTCGTTTTTGGTAAGTTGTCGTCGTTTGTGAGTTTTGAGGAATTAGTCCATTTCATCTCAGTTGTCAAGTTTGTGTGTAAAGTTGTTAATAGTATTCCTTATTATTCTTTTGATATCTGCAGTGTAGTCGTGCTATTCTCTGTTTTATTCCTGATGCTGGTAATTTCTGTCTTCTTTCTGTTTTTCTTTGTCAATATTGCCAGAGGTTTGTTAATTTTATTGATCTTTTCAAAGAACCAGTTCTATCCCATTGATTGTTTTCTATTTTTCTCTTTTTAATTTCTTTGATTTCTGCTATTATTTTCTTTTCTTCCTTCTGTTTGTTTTGACTCTTTTATTTCTGCGATAATGCAGTGTGAGCATGGATTATTGATTTGAAACTTTTCCTCCATTTTGATGTAAACTTTTAGTGCTACAAATATCGGATTCAGTGTGGCTTTAAGCTGTGTCACACAAATTTCAATACATTGTTTTTTCATTTTCACTCAGTTCAATGTATTTTTAAAAATTTCCCTTGAGTCTTCTTTGAACTATGGATTATTTGTATGTTGTTTGGCTTCCATGTGTTTAGAGATTTTCCTTTTATGTGTTACTGATTTCTAGTTCAACTTCTCATACTGATTTCCAGTTCATTTCTATTGTGGTCGGATAACACACTCTGTATGATTTAAATTATTTTACATTTGTTGAGATTTGTTTCACGGCTCAGGATATCTTGGGATATGTTTTGTGGGTGCTTGAAATGAATGTGTGTTCTGCTGCCTTTGGGCAGAGTGTTCAAAAATGACTCTTAGATCCCTTTAGTTGATGGTGTTGTGAATTCTTCTATACCTTGACTTTCTTTCTGTCTAATTTTTCTTCTTTTCCAAAAGAGATGTTGCAGTCTTTAAATAAAACTGAATTTGTCTGTTTATTTCTTCTAGTCCCATCAGAGTTTGCCTCACAAGCTTGCAGCCCTGGTGCATGCACATTTAGGATTGCTGTCTCTTTTTAGTAGTTTGCCCTTTTATCATTATGCAGGGTGGGGCAAAAGTAGGTTTACAATTGTTCGTGTGGAAAATAATACAATAATTAATAAATAATAATGAATAAATTCTGTGTTTTGTGTACTCACAACTATAAATCTACCATTGCCCCACCCTATATAATGTTCCTCTTTGTCTCTAATAACTATTTTCTCCTCAGTACACTTTTTCCAATATTAACATAGCCACTCCTGTTTTCTTTTGATTAATATTTGTATGTCTATATACACAGTGAGTTTCTCATAGACAATGTACAATGAATCATGGTTTTAAGTACACTCTGCTGAAAAATTTGTATTCCAAGATGGTGACGGATTGAGTGGAAGCTACACTGACACTCTCCCAGGACCAAACTGGAATTACAACTAGAATAGAGAAAAACCATCCTGAATAATCAACAGAAGACGAGCTGGAGAGCACCCTCATAACCAAGGATGAAAAGTAGAGACCACATGGAGACTGGTAGGAAGTACAGAGGCACAAGAGGCTGGCTGGGCTCCCACAGGCAGCAACTGAAGGTCCAGAGGGATATCTCAGCTGTGGGAGGCTCCCACTGAGAACTCTGGGGACTAAGCCTCAAGTAGGGCTTCCCAGCCCAGAGCACCAGAACTGAGAAAGGTACCCACATAACATCTGGCTGTGAAAAGCACCTGGGTTTCTTTCTGCCAGGGAGAGATGGCTGGAAATGCAGGCATCCTCTTAAAGGGTCAATACACACTCACTGTGTGGCAGAGAGAAGGCACAGTGAATTACAACAGTGTGAGAAGAATCTGGGGTTTCAACTCTGGAGGTGGAGCTCATAGTGCAGCCATCTGGATTCCTGTGCTGAGTCATTCTCCCATACTGCAGAGGGGACCTTTCACAGTTAGACCTTTTCGAGCCAGGCAGCTTTTGCCTGGGGGGAAGCAATTGCCCCACCCACTGGAAAACCTCTCACCCCACCCTGTGGAGTTTATGCCTTGCTATGGTCTACAGCCTGAGGCTCATTAAGAGAATAAGATCAATCAGCCTGCAGTCTGAGGTGGACTTCTGAGAGCTTTGAGTCTTTGCCGGATCTGCTTATGGACTCAGGCCTTGGAAAAGCAGACTTTGCTGTGCATTTTGGTCCTGTCCAAATGCACCCAGCCCCAGCAGAAGAAACAATAAGCCAGCCCAGCAGAGCGAACTACAAGCCATGGGTTGTTGATAGCTCCAAACAGGGTACTCAAGGCCAGTCATAAAGAGTGTCTGAGATTGGCCTGCACCAGAGACCCTCCAAAAAGACAGAGTCCTAGCAGATCCACCTAATACATAGAAACAAACCAAATAGGCAGCCAAAATGGGGAGACAAAAACAGGCCGCAAATGAAAGACCAAGAGAAGTCTCCAGAAAAAGAGCTAAATGGAATGGAGATAAGCAACCTATCAGATACAGAGTTCAGAATACTGATTGTAAGGATGTTCAATAGCATGAGAAAAGATATAGAAACTATGAAAAATGACCAGTCAGAAATGAAGAAAGACACAGAGGAAATGAAGAATACATTGGAAGGAATAAACAGCAGATTAGAGAAAGCTGAGGATTGGATCAGCAAATTAGAAGACAGGGAAGAAAAAATCAACCAGAAATCCAGAGATCCAAAAAGAAAAAATTAAACAGCAGGACAGTCAAATGGGGCTGTGAAACATGAAATGTAACAATATTTGCATTATGAGAGTTCCAGAATGGGAAGAGAATAAGCAAAGGATAGAGAATTTGTTTGAAGAAATAATGTCAGGAAACTTCCCTAACCTGGTCAAGGAGAAAAATCACACAAGTTCAGGAGGCACAGAGAGTCCCAAGCAAGAAGAATCCAAAGAGGCCCATGCCCAGACACATCATAATTAAAATGCCAAAAATTCAAGACAAAGAGAGAATCTTAAAGTCAGCAAGAGAAAAGCAATCTGTTACCTACAAAGGAGGTCCCATAAGGCTCTCAGCGGATTTCTTATCAGAAACTCTACAGACCAGAAAGGAATGGCATGAAGTATTCAAGGTAATGCAAAGCAAGGATCTGAAACCAAGACTACTCTATCCAGCAAGGCTATCAGTCAAAATAGATGGGGAAATAAAGAGCTTCCCAGACAAAAAAAAGGCTAAAAGAATTTATCATCACCAAACCAGCATTGCAGGAAATGTTAAAGGGACTGCTGTAATAAGAAGAAAGAGAGAGAGAAACATAGGCATGAAGAATTAAAATGGCAATAAATAAGGACCTATCAATAATAACCTAAAGGACTTTAAGGGAGAGGTCAACAGCAATACAGTCATAGTTGGGGACTTTAACACCCCAATGACTTCCCTGGATAGACTTTCCAGACAAAAAGCCATCACAGAAACAGTGACTCTAAATAG